AACAATAGATAATATAAAGGAAAAACTGTTAAAACACACTGTTAAAGATTTTAAAAGTGGTTTTGAACATTTTCGCTTCAGAAGAAGAAACTTTGTCATTTCAAATGTCTGAGTTGTTAAAAGCTTTTTCCTCTGAAGTTCTCAAATGCTTCAATGATCCATCTCACCACAAATCAAAGAGAGAAACCAGCTCTCACAATATATCTAATGTCCCTGTACATAAAACTGTTCTTCGTGTATTTTACCGTAGCTTCACTTGCTGCTTCAGTATAGGTGATCTAATAATGCCATGGAGCTTAATAAAACAATTCTATAATCGGTCTATAAAGTACTTTTATTTTAAAAATGTATCTACATTTTACTCGCCTGTACTCTGAGATTGAATGTGCTCTTGAAAATGTTTATCATGTGACATGTTGCGCACAAAGGGTAAACAAGAAGCAGATTGTCTACTCTGGAGTTGGTAGAATAGTAAATACTACAAACAAACAACATCAATGGTGAAGGAGCAGTTTTCACACATGACCATCAGAGAATGTGCACATGATTAAGTTGAATGCCTAAGCTATAGATATAGAGTGTACAGAGTGGATGAACTGCCTTTATATGCTCTGGGGTCTGTATGGTCAGTGATACAGAGAGACATGACACCTCTATTGCACAACTTGACACTGGACTGTGAAGCCTCACTGTGGCTGTGCACTACAAGCTCTAACTTTATGTGCAATGTCAATGTAAGCATATTATTATTATTATCTTAAAATGTGTATAAAAGTTAATAACATGACTTTCTACTCTTCCTCAAATACTAATACTAATATATATCAACAGTTCACTATAACAGAGGAGCCAATCATTTCTTTTGCCAAAGGGATAGTTCACCCCAAAATGAAAATGCACTCATTATTTACTCACCACTATGCCAATGGAGGGGTGGGTGAAGTGTTTGAGTCCACAAAACACTTTTGGAGTCTCAGGGGTAAACAGCACTGCAGCCAAATCCAGTACGATTGGGGTAAATGGTGTCCAATTCTTCAAACATAAAACAACAACAGAAAATCAATTGTATTGGATTTGGCTGCACCGCTGTTTACCCCTGAAACTCAAACACTTCACCCACCCCTCCGCTGGCATGGTGGTGATAGACAATGAGTGAATTTTCATTTCGGGGTGAACTATCCCTGATATTTGATAGGATTCACTGAGGAGAAACATATGTAATATCAGGGAATATAAAAACAACATTCAGGATTTTATGTTTTATATAAATATCAATATAAACAATGGCCTTGAGTTAATATCTTGACGTACAGGAGAAGCCGAGCAGACGATTGACGGATGAATCATAACTAACCATAAAAAACAAAACTGATCTATTAAACAACACAAACATTTTATTTTATTTTATTTTTTTAACTTAAAAACCAAAAGAAGCGAAAATCTCTCGATGATCTCAAACAGTCCCGCGTGTCGCCATGACGTCACCACTGTTTACTTTCACCTAAGCCACGCCCTCTGTTAGCAACTTGTGGCTAGCTCGGCTACAGGGAAGCAGCAGCAGCAGCAGCAGCTCCGAGGTTCCGCTCCTTCAGACGCCGACACGAGTCCAACACTGTCCGTCCGCTCCTAACTCCGGTGAGTGAACTCCAGGTCAGCGCTCTGCTTCACTGGACGATGGCGAACCGCGGCGCTGGATCCCATTTGTGTTATTTCAGCCTGTTTTTTTAATTTGTCGTTTTCTCTCCCGAGCTAGCGCAGGGACGGGGCTGCTAGCTTTTGTTGTGCTGTTGACGTTGACGCTCCCGCATCGCTCGTCGAAAACTGATTTTCAGTCTCTTCGGCGTCGGTTTCATTGAAAGATGGTGAAGCTGTGTCATGCGTGTGTGTGTGTGTGCGTGACATGTTGAACTCCTGAACATGCGGTGCACACGTCAAGCTAAAGGCTGGACGCGGACTGCGGTGGTTTTTTTAGCGGATGTCGGGTCCATTCATATCGCGTTGGGGGCGAACTCGACGTTTCTGCGGCGAGCGAAGCTAACGTTACCTCCACGTTAACGGGGATTCACGATACATTTACGACGTTTCCCCGGCGGGAGACGTGTGTGTGTGTGTGCAGGAGATATTTGAGGCTAAGCTGCTTCACAAACAACACGGAGCCAGATCCTCAGACATTATCCGAGTTTAACACGTGATCCAACTCTCGACAGTATGAACCCTGCACGAGATGATTTTATTTTTTGAATCGTCTCACTGACGCTGAAACAGTAAATCTGAAGACAGCCCCTGAAACTTGGGTCGAATAATTGCTTTGTAATTCACGACAAACTAAGTGTGTAGGGAACCAGATCGAGACAAGGAGAAAGTTACGTGATTAAAAATGTAAAATCAAAGCTAAAAGCACTATTTATTGTGATATGTGTCTACTTTTTAAAATCAAAAATAGATCCTGTAAAACACCGAAGCAAAAACTATACATACTGAGCATAGACACAAATCTCTTTGTTTATAGTTTTCAATATTCTGCTATATATATCACATAATAAACTAATTACACTCTATAACACTCTTTTATAGCTGCCTTTATACTATTTGTATTGAATTATTTGCTTTGTTGATTAATGTCACGTGAAAGAGCTGCAGATTATGCTGCTCCTTTCTTTTGAGATTTGAGATTTTGTGTTTGCATTTAAATTGTTTTGTTCGGTCGGTGAACTAAACATACCCTGTTAAAAATATTCACATATATATAGTACAATACATGTATATAGTTTATTGTGGTTACCTGTTTTTTTTTTTATTAAGTTCACAGTGCATGGTATCACTTCTCTTTCGAATGTATTTCCGTGATTTGAGACTTTTGGCCTTCACTAGACTACTTCGGAGATATTGACTTGTAGTGCAAGTGTAACATCACGCATTAGAAGATAAAGACTGCGTTTAATGGGGGGGGGGTGGCAGTTGTTTGCTCTTTCGGAAAGGTCTCCTCGCAGTGTTTCCCTCATTTCCTCCCCATTCTTTATGGAGTGGTGGCCCCCGCTGCTAGAGAGTTGCCCCTGTTGTGAGAATACTTAAAAAAACAGTTTTAAAAAAATCATCATGAGCATATTATTTAGCCCATTCCTTAGACAGGTGCACTGCAACACGACTGTTCAATTATCATAATCCCACAGTAGATAATATCTGATTTCACTCGCAGTGGAACCGAGGTGGGATGATCCCCGTGTTCAGCCTGGCTCTTACAAACCAAATCACCCCCGGCATCTTCAAAAATGCCTACAGGAAACACTGCCCTTTGTCTTCACATCTAATCCCCATCCTGAAAGCAAAAGTAAACAGTGGAAAACCTCACCAACAACCGCCTGTTTTGATTAGATAGGTTGTAGTTTCAGAAAAAACAGGAGCTCAGTTTTAACAGTAGAAGTTCTAACTTGTGTTTGAATGACCTCGCTGCAGCTGCAGACATTAAACGGCACTCAGTTGTTTCTTGTCACTTTCAAACACATAAATGACTGAATGTTATGTCATCTGTATTTGGTTTGTTGCTTGGTTCGGACTTTATCAGTGTATACAGTAAAGCGTGATCTTATCATCATGTCAGATGCAGCCTAAATGTTGACGCGATTGATCGATCAACAGATTGATTTCAGTTTGTAAATCTGACAGTAAGGTAATCCTGAAAGTAATGATATTATCACTGAGTCTACGTGGTCAGTTTTATCTCAGGCTTTGTCCGTTGGTTTCCATCTGTGCACATTATTTGTTTGCCCACTTTGTTTACCTTTATTTATGCTGCTTAGCTTTCAGACTCAAACACTCTCAACCTGTATATATAATAGTCTACTTGTGCATTGTACTACCTGCCACAGCCGTTTATTGCACCACCTGGTTAATGGTAAATTGTTCCAGAAGGAAGATATGTTTGCACATAAACACAGACCCAGGGCCCCTGTGTTTACAGTAGCCATGGCAGCACTCAGTTATTCAACAAATAGACCTGTGCTTGTTCCTCTCCCACTTGTAGAAGAGAATGTTTGTCTTGGTGGGTTGGGTGATAACCGTGTAGTTCTTAACTTTTAGTGCTACGTTCTGTTCCATACAGCACAGTTACTTTCACATAGTGAATGACTGCATTGTCAGTGCATTACAGCGACTATAGAATTCTGTTAAGTTTTCCTCGGGGCATGGTACTTGTAATTACTTGTTAAGTGATAGTTTTGTCAGTGAGTAAGCAGTATTGTGTTTGTGTTCTTCCTGTATTTCCTCATATTGTTCTGCTCTCTCCAGCTGTTTTCATTTACGCACATTTCCTTTCTCTCAGGTCAGT